TGTAGACTGAATGGAGAGTTACAGCAACTCTAAAAGGAATTCATTACAGAGAGAAATTCTGCTAGAGATCTCATCCTGTGTGCCCCCAAAATAAGCATCCATAACAGATCTGTGATAAGTCTCTCCTATTTTTTGTCCCTCAAAGAGTGAAAAGTTCAACCCCTGAAGAATTTAATGCGTACAACCAACATCAACCCCACAAACAATTGGCCAATATAAAGATTTTTCAGCAAACATGTTGACAAAATACATTTCCTTTATTCTGACATTGATTTTTGCTTTTACATGTGGATTTTAACAAAATCAAATTAACTGAATGCGTACATGCCAGTTTTGGGTGGTGGTTAAGGTGCTGGCCTAGAAACAAAAAGACTCTTGAGTTGTAGTCGCACCTTACGCATGAAAAAGCAACTGGATGACTTTGGGCCAGTCACTTACTTTCAGCCTAAGCTTCCTCACAAGGTTGTTGTTGCAGGAAAAAAGAGGAAGTGGGAGGAATATTATGTACAGTATGTTCACCATCTTGAGCTACTTATAAAGTAATAAAGATATAAAAAATAATAAAACTAAATATTTTAAAATTAACAAAATTATGATAGACTGGGCTTTCATTTAATGACAAAACACAACTTGAAAAAGAAACAATATATGGAAACAATGACAGTATTTTATAATTTATTAATCTACTGTAATATATCTGTCCAGTTTGACAGATTACTTTTGAAAGCTTACCTGTGATTCCCAAAATGTCCATCTTTTAAGTATAATTTGAAAGAGCTTGTTTTATAGGTTAAAAGTTACAAAACAAATTACTTTGTTTTTGGTAATAGATTAAAAGTTATAAACAAATTGCCCAAATCTTTCAGGATCAATGCAACACAAACCTCAAGAATTTTACAGCATACAGTAATCTCAGACACTGATATGGTGACTTGATGATATGTGTATCACTGGCTACAATGGGACATGTTTTTGAATATGTATGTTTAGAGAGGTAATTTAAGATAAAAACAGCTTTACATCCTCAGGCAACAGATGGCCTCAATGTGGACATCCTGTTTTGAAAAACAATGTATACACAGGGTAGCTTTTAGATATATTTCTAAAACATTATTAAATTTGAGATTTTGATGGGTTATTAAATATTTCATGGTTTAAGTTTTATGTTCTCTTCTGTTTTTCCTCTGACATTCTAGATGTGTTCATGAAAACCTATTGTTTCATTCAAGCCTTTCTTTTGTGAATATCAGGAATGGATGTTTATTCTATTTTATTTCTTTTCCTCTCCAATATAATATATTTTATGTTAAATATTTACAGATATTTAATGTTTGGATTGCTCCAAATATATAAGGAGCTTCTATTAGCATTAGAAATTTCTGCAGACGTAAGAGTAGGGCCAACAACAAGTATTTAAAACTTCAGAGAATGAATAATCAATAACATGTATACCTGTTTTGTCAAGCTGACAGGAAAAAGGCAGGTACATGCCCTGTAAATTTTATCATTTTTGTAAACTGGGGGCTGGTAGCACTGATTGGAGAGGCCAGAAATTGGGCTTTCAGTGGCAGTGACTGCTGTGTCCAAAGATAAGTGTATTTGTGGGTGGAGGTTAATTGACATCCATCATGGGAGAAAGTGGAAGCCAGTATGAGCAGTAGTAGAAATGACAAGCAGCACATCTTGACAATGAGATGTATAAATTTAATAAATAAATAAAGTGCTGAAGGATGACAAAGAACAAAGAAAGATAGAAGGAACAAGAAATGAAAAATTGTGGCTGGGAATGAACTGGGTACCAGATGTATAGGTAGGTGAATGCACTCCATTGAGCCTTTTATTGAAGGATTATAGCTTGGTGTAGGGATTGGTAAAGGGAACATTGGAGGAATGGCAGAGACAGTGATGAAAAGGACAGTTTCATTTCTTTGGTGGGAGATGAGGAATGGAGAAGAAAGGCTCCTGCTCAAAGTGAGAAAACGGGGAAGACTCCCAACTTTGGACTGAGATGAAAATTCAGTGGAAAGGATAGGCTAGAGGTGTGTGCTGTAAGAGAAGTTAAATTGCGTGAGTTTTCTTAGAGGAATGTAGGAAAGTGTGAAAAGCATAATGGATTACTACTGAGTAGCTGAGGGAAGTATGGGAGGAACAGAGGATGAGTTGTTACAGGAGAAAAGAGAGCAACATGTATCATTCCTCATTTCTAAACTCAATATGCAGATAATTAGATTATTACTATCACGTTAGCTTTACCTCTTTTTACCACTGCTTGTACTGCTCTCCGCTTTTGCTCATGGCGATGGGAGGGAAACACCCAGTCAAGTATTAATTTTAAAAGAATAACTTATTTGCCCATCTTTAAGAGGCCATCTTTGCACCTAGCTATATTAGATGATTGTTGCCCAGTCTCCAAATTCTTTTTTCTAGAGAAAGTTGTTTAAAAAGTGGTGTTATGGTAGTTACAAACAATTCTGGATTATATAAATACTTTTGGGCCTGGAAGCCTAGGCATGTGATAAAAATCATATTGTTTGCTCTCATGAGTGCCCTCTAATAGAATTGGATGGTGGGAGCATGATTCTCTCATAATATTGAATCCTTCAGTTTTCAATATTATCAACCTTCCAAATTGCTGTGATTCTGTTCAGTGATGATTCCATTCCTTCCTACCTGGACAATACCAGTCAATGGTTGTGCAGAGGAGTGTTTCCTGGAATGGGGATTCTGTGACACTCACTCATGCTTTTGACACCTCTTAATTGACCTACTGGAGCACATTGTATATGAGGCCCACCTAGAAATTTCAGATGGTACAGGATATGATTGCCTGTTACTAATGGATTAAACCATGTACAACAGTGGTTCTAAACCTTTCTAATGCCGCGACCCCATAATACAGTTCCCCACGTTGTGGTAACCCCCAACACTTATACATCACCAGGTGCCAAGGGTGTGGCCAAAGAAAAGGGGGAAAAATGGCGGACAGCCTTGTTTGGCGACCCCCATGAAATAGTCGTTCGACCCCAAATGGGGTCCCAACCCACAGGTTGAGAACCACTGATGTACAACCTTTTAATCCCTATTTAATGTAAGCTGTACTTGGCTATCAGTTCATTTCTGGATAAAATTCAAGGTGCGGGTTATTTTCTATATAGTTCTATATTGCTTGGAACCTGGGTATCTTTGATGCTGTACACTCCAAATACAGGTAGTCCTTGAATTATGACCATACTTGAGCCCACAATTTGGTCATTAGTTGTGATGGTCATATAGTAGGTCACACATCACCGCACCTGATTTTATGATCTTTTTTGCAGTGGTCATTAAGCAAATGCCACAATCATTAAGTGAACACATTATTTGCTATGTGGTGGGTTTTGTTAGAAACGCTGATTTCCAGAAAAACATAGTAAATTGTGGTGATGTGACCATGGAACACTGCAAATGGCCATAAATGCAGGCTGGTTGCCAAATGCCTCAAATGTGGTCGCTTGACTGGAGGGTAAACGTCAGCACTTCAAATTTAGATCATAAATCTCTTTTGGGATCTGTCATAACTTCAAATGATCACTAAGTGATCAGCCATATGCCAGGGACTACTTGAACAATCTGGACTAATCCCAATCACTAGGAATTCTGGTGGGAAGGGGACTGAAAAATAAGCATTATCTATGAACCCCTGTGGAATAATTTGTCCCTGATAGTAATTTAGGCCCCTTCTCTGATAAGACACCTGTAAGAGATGGCTATTTTAGAGCACCTTCTGGGAAAGATGATATTGATGATGATGATAGAAAATAACTAGTAAAAATATAAAATTATGCAAGATTTGTGGAAAATTTTGATTATGATTACATACAATATTATTGTTTTGCTTCAATTTCCTCTAACTTGTAACTTGGTTTGATTGATGTGCCATAGAAGTTATAGTAAATAAAACAATGAACTATACCTAATAGTAACATAAAAACTCCTACTGTTCCTTCCCTTTAGTTCAGCGGTTCTCAACCTATGGGTCGCGACCCCATTTGGGGTCGATCGACCATTTCTCGGGGGTCGCCAAACAAGGCGATCCGCCATTTTTTCCCCTCAGGGGGCGTCGCCGCGCATGCGCGCCACGCCACGCATGCGCGGCACGTTTGTGTGACGGGGGTCACCGTCACACAAACGTTGAGAACCACTGCTTTAGTTGCCATATGCCTATCCAGCCCATTTGTCCTTCTCCCTATTTTTCTTCCCTGTAGATATATCTGTAGATACATCTTCCCTCCCATACATCTGTCTCCCCAGCCTTCCTTTCTCTTAGCTGTGACTGTTGTGCTTCAGTTTAGTAGTTTTTAGCAGGTTGCCTGTCCACAAATAAGGAAGAATTCATCTCGGTAGCCAAAGAAGTTTACCAACAGAAGTATAACAACTTACTGTATAGTTCTCTATATACTGTACTATACTGTATTTATCCATTTTGATCAACCATTTTGACTATCCCTGAGCTCCCAGGGCAAGAATATATATGGAAAGATGTTAATTTAGGCCTGACTGTTCTTCCCAGGTGAGGTAAAATATATGGATGGCTGCAGACTTTGCTTCAGATTCTAATTCCAAGGCTGTTAGGAGCTAAATTAAGCTAATGTTGCCTTTCCATATCCAGGATTTCTAATTTAAGAGGTGTTGTAGTTTGATCAGAACCCATGGACAGGAAAATTGTTATCCATAAGGTGTTGAGAGACAGTTTATCCAATAGGCTCTGGTTCCAGATTAATAGAAACTACCCAGAAATTATTAAGAGAACCAGGGACATTGGGTAAAGTTAAACTTTATTTAAAAATTTAAAATAGCCAGCAATCTCAAGGTTCTTTGAGTAAACCAGCCTTCACCCAGAGGATGGCATATGGGACATACCATTCTTGGAGATTTGGAGCACTGTACTCAGAAATGTAGATCGAATATTTCCAAGAATAATATTAAGGATGTAGATCTAATATTTTTTTTGTATATTGTAGGATTTAGCTTCAAATAATTAGGTAGTCACAAAGATTCCATGGATGAGAATCCTCCAGGGGAAAACAACGCAAGAAGCTTGGGAAATTTTGAAAAGCAAGATAATAGAAGCCCAGTCTAGCTCAATACCAACGAAGAGGAAAAATAACAGCTCTCAAAAGAAACCAGCATGGCTTCATAAAGAACTCTCTGACAAATTGAAAGATAAAAAGGACAAGTATAGAAAGTGGAAAGAGGGGCACATAACTAAATCAGAATATCAACAAATAGCCCGAGCCTGCAAAGACGAAGTGAAGAAAGCTAAGACTCAAAATGAATTAAGGCTTGCGACCAATGTCAAAAATAACAAAAAAGCTTCTTTCAACATGTAAAAAAACAAGAAAAAAGTGAAGGAAACAATTGGTCCATTAGTGGGTGAGTGGTAAGAAGGTGACTAGCAATAGGGACAAAGCAGAACTATTTAACTCGTTTTGGAATCTGTCTTTACACAAAGGGAAAAAGACCAACCTATCAAAAATAGTGCCATAAAAAACAGTATAGAAACACAAGATAGGCAAGAAAATAATAAGTGAGCCTTTGATTCCCAAAGAAAACACAGACCTGGCGCAAATTAAGAACTATAGACCAATTTCTCTTTTGAATTCGGATTACAAGATTTTTATGGCAATAATGGCGCAAAGATTTGAAAGGTTCTTAGTGGATTTTATACATACCGATCAAAACGGCTTTCTATCTAAAAGATATATAAGAAACAATATTAGGACTGTTTTGGACATATTGGAGTATTATGAAGTACATAATGAAAAGCAAATGTGTTTAATTTTTCTTGATGCACAAAAAGCATTCGACAATATAAAATGGGATTTATGTTGTATATAAATTGTATATGGACTTTGGGGGAAATTTCTTAAATGTGTTTAAATCAGTTTATTCTAAGCAGGTGGCCAAAGTAATAATGGAGAACCGACTGAGAGCTTCCAAATTCAAAAAGGCACGAGGCAAGGTTGCCCACTATCACCACTGTTGTTTATATTATCTCTTGAGGTATTAACTAGAGTAATCCGGCAAGATGAACAGATCCAAGGTTTAGAAATCAAGAAAGAGACATTTAAAATACAAGCCTTTGCAGATGATTTAGTCTTTATAATTGAAGAACCACTACAATCAGGGACAAGACTGATGGAAACACTGAATAGATATGGGGAAATAGCAGGTTTAAAGATAAATAAAGAAAAAAACTAAAATGCTCGTCAAAAATATGACTAAAATACAGAAAAATGAATTGGTTGACAGAATAGGTGTTCAAATCACAAATAAAATTAGATATTTAGGGATACAATTGACTGCCAAATGCGCTACACTTAAAAGGGATAACTATGATAAGTTAATAGAACAGATTCAAAAAGACTTTGATATTTGGACTAACCTACAGCTCTCTCTTATGGGCAGAATTGCGGTGATTAAAATGAATGTGTTGCCAAAAATCTTATTTTTGTTCCAATGTATACCTATAAAATTAGACAAGAAATCTTTTTCAAAATTTGAATAAAATGATGTGTAAATTCATCTGGCAAAGAAAAAGAGCAAGGATTAAATTAAAATTATTGCAGGACTCAAAGGAAAGGGGGGGATTTGGTTTTCCAGACCTGGAGAAATATTATCAGGCTGCAGCATTAGTATGGGTAAGAGATTGGATATTACTAAAAAACAGGAGACTATTATGTCTGGAGGGCCATGACGTACAAATAGGATGGCATGCCATATTATGGGATCATAAATATAAAGTACATAAATATTTTCGAAGACACTATATTAGGCAAGCTCTTATTGATGCATGGACAAAAATTTGGCAACCAAATTATACCCAAGTACCTAGTTGGATCTCACCATTAGAAATATATGTACACCCAAAATTTACCCAATTAGACAAGACCATAACATATAAAAATATCTTAGATGAAAGAGGGGAATTGAAATCCAGGAAAATCCTCCAGGATGAAGGGATAGAATTAGAATGGTGGGCATACCTGCAACTGCAGGCGAGATATTGGAAAGATAAAAAAGAGTTAGGCATTAAATTAGAACCAATAGAATTGGATAAAATAATATTGGGGTCGGAGGATAAAATGATTAAAAAATTATACCACTATTTGTTAGATCAGGCAATGTACGAGGAACAAGTAAAAGTGACTATGTTGAATTGGAGTAAGGACTTTGGTCTTAATTTTGATCTGCACATCTGGCAAGAACTATGGGCAAGAAACAAGCTTACTTTGGCCACCTCTTACAAAGAGAATCTTTACAAAATGTTTTATAGATGGCATCTCCCATCCACAAGATTGGCTAAAATGTGTACCAATATCTCCCCCTAAATGTTGGAAATGTAATTTGACAAGTGGAACTTACTATCATATGTGGTGGGAATGCACGCGAGCTCATGATTTTTGGAAATAAGATTAAAGTATGGTTGGAAGAAATATTAGAGCAAGTGGTAGAACCAAAACCAGAACTCTTTCTATTAGGTTTAACTACGCAAAAACATGACAAAGGCGTACTTTATTTAATGCTACACATTTTAACGGCTTCCAGACTGGTTTTTCCTCAAAATTGGAGGAATAAGGGAACCTCAACAGAAGAAGAGATCCTGTATAAAATTTTATCATGTGCTGAGATGGACAGGCTTACAATGATTATGAAAGACAAGACAGAACAGGAATACTTCGAAATCTGGGGCAAATTTTAATATATATATATAACTGTACGTTATATACTGTACATATAACTGTATATATAATTGTATTGTATAAAAGATAAGGCTTATATAGAGGTTAAGAACGATGTGTTAAGCTTTTATACCATGATAGGAACTGATAGGAAAACTCATTCTGGAATGTCACGTTTGTCCATTGTTGTTTTAATTGTATTATGAATAAAAATATTAAAAAAAATAATAAGTGAGCACCTGTCCAGCCTAGATGAGTTCAAATCACCAGGATCAGATGGATTACACCTCAAGGTTCTCAAGGAACTGGCTGATGTGATCTCAGAACCACTGAACTATATTTTTCAAAGATCTTGGAGCACTGGGGAACTACCAGAGGACTGGAAAAGAGCTGATGTAGTTCCCATCTTCAAAAAAGGGAAAAAAATGGATCCAGGAAATTACAGACCTATCAGCCTGACTTCAATACCTGGGAAGATTCTGGAAAAGATAATCAAACAACGAATCAGCGAATACCCACAGACAAACAAAGTCATTACTAAAAGCCAACATGGGTTTGTCAAAAACAGATCATGCCAGACAAACCTTATTGCATTCTTTGACCAAGTGGATCAATTAGTGGAGCAGAGGAATGCTGTGGATATAATTTATTTGGACTTCAGTAAGGCATTTGATAAAGTAGATCACAACCTACTACTCGATAAGACAGAAACATGTGGGTTAGACAGCATCACCAACAGATGGATTCGTAGCTGGCTGACTGGCTGTACTCAGCATGTGATCTTCAATGGAACTGCATCTACATGGAGGGAAGTGTGTAGTGGGGTGCCCCAGGGCTCTGTTCTAGGCCCAGTGCTCTTCAACATCTTCATCAATGATTTGGACGAGGGGATAGATGGGGAACTCATCAAATTTGCGGATGTTCGATCCCAGCCTATAGCCATCCTTGTTAAAGGCACAAGGACCAAACCCCTGTTGATAAAATAGGCTGGAGACTTAAAACAAAACAAACCCCTTTTAACATGGGTGACAAACCTGCCAAATAGTCCAGAAACAAAAGCAGCCAAACTCAATCCAAATGAAGGAAATAGCCCACATGAAACACAATGCAAACAGAAGAGTAGTTACAGGGAAGATGAACAGAACAGGATCCCATGAAGTACTTTGCAAACGGTTGCCTTCAGCAACCAGCACCGCCCACACCTCCTTTTATACAGCAGTCCCAAGGCGTTGCCTCTTAGTGCCTTCTCCTTTTTCCCTGGAGTTGTCGCATTGATTGCTGCTGATTTACTCTTGCTAATTGCCGGCGTGTGCGAGCATCAATTAGCATGTCTTATCAGATGTGAGTCCTCCGAGTCTGACTCATTCTCCTCACACAGCTGAGCTTCATCAGGAACACGACTGGAGGGCCCAGGCTCTGCATCAAACCGTGAGTCTTGTAATTCATCAGAGCCTCCCTCTGCCCCTGATGGCCCTTCAAATGCCTCCTCCACCTCCTCCTCAGATTCCTCAGACTCAGCTGTTGGGAATACAGGCTGGCACGGAATCACGACAGCGGATGACACCAAGCTGGCAGGAATAGCCAATACTCCAGAAGACAGGCTTAAGATACAGGAGGACCTGGACAGACTTGAACACTGAGCGCTATCTGACAAAATGAAATTCAATGGTGAAAAAAGTAAGGCTCTACATTTAGACAAGAAAAACCAAATGTACAGGTATAGTATAGGGGGTACCTTGCTCAATAGTAGTAACCGTGAGAGGGATCTTGGAGTCCTAGTAGACAATCACTTAAATATGAGCCAGCAGTGTGCTACAGCTGCCAAAAAAGCCAACACAGTGCTGGGCTGCATTAACGGATAGAATCAAGATCACGTGAAGTACTAATACCACTTTACAATGCCTTGGAAAGGCCACACTTGAAATACTGCATCCAGTTTTGGTCACCACGATGTAAAAAAGATGCTGAGCCTCTAGAAAGAGTACAGAGAAGAGCAACAAAGATGATTAGGGGACTGGAGGCTAAAACATAAGGAACGGTTGCTGGAATTGGGTATGTCTAATTTAACAAAGAAGGACGAGGAGGGACATGTTCCAATATCTCAGGGGCTGCCACAAAGAAGGGGGAGTCAAGCTATTTTCCAAGGCGCCTGAAGGCAGGAAAAGAAGCAACGGATGGAAACTGATCAAGGAGAGAAGCAACTTAGAACTAAGGAGAAACTTCCTGACAGAACAATTAACCAATGGAACAACTTGCCTCTAGAAGCGGTGAATGCTCAAACACTGAAGTTTTTAAGAAGAGACTGGACAGCCATTTGTCTGAAATGGTGTAGGGTTCCTTCCTGAGCAGGGGGTTGGACTTGATGACCTCCAAGGTCCCTTCCAACTTTATTATTATTATTAAGTACAAAGCATTCCCATTTGACC